TACAATGGACGTCATTATGAACAGCTTATATTTACACACAAATATCACATCAATTAAATATATATACATCGAAAATACATAATTATATTCAGACCATTATTTCTCTGTGTCCCATTACAGACAATAATTTCAGTGACTAAATATATCACATTTTATATTTTGTGTTCACATTTCAGCCTGAGATTTATTCAACTCTTTTGATCGTTGACACATTTTCTTTGCTGTTCAATCAACATCTCGAATCAAAGCTCCAGAAAAACACATCGAGCAGCTGTTTAATCAGAAGTCTGTTATTGCTCAGTGTAGATATACAGCACACCTCGGGCCTTAACACACTTTTTCATATTTCAGGTAAATACTCAGTGTCCCCAGCCTCCAGCAGTGGGTTGGGAAAAAACAAAACAATCAAGGAAATGAAAGAAATCCATGAAGAAAACATTGATCAACTTTGATCACCCTATAACAAGTTGATGTTTTCGACCATTGAGTCATAAAAAAGTTGCGTCTACGTTGTTTCAATACATATATACATATGCTTATGTATATGTATATATAAGTATTCTGTATACATATACATTATACATACCAGTCCAGTAGTTTCTGTGTAATCCTTCTAAAGACAAAAGCAGAACCGTGTTGGCGGAGGTAATGACGCCCACTCCTCGTGATTCGGGAGACTTGCGTGAAAAGAAAGTGCTTCATAAATGGCCACATGGTGGCACCGTTGGGTTTGGATCTGCACCTGAATTTATAAAAAACCTTACCAATGCTGTTTTCTAAGATACGCTGCTAAAAAACGAAGTAGACTGTACACACAGGGACGTGACCCACACAGTTTAACGATCATCATAAACGCCGGTAAAATCTTTTAAAGTGTTTTAGTGGTTTTGGAAAATGCAACGTGAACTCACGCCAACGCAGCTTTAAACCTGGTGTCGTCTCTGTAGCGTCATCATCTCTGTGCCATCCTCACGTTCATTACCACAAAAACCCACAATAAAAAAAGGTCCTTTAGAATATTGTAAACTTCAGTTACAAGCTCGCTCAAGTCCAAGGTTTAGTGCAATAATCAAAAGTGTCTCTAACGCCACACAGGCACAGTGGGATGGTCCTGGTTTATGGTTGTGACACAGTTTGTACCACGTCCGTGTGAGGTTGGGGTGTTATCGGATGCACAGGAACATTGTGTTCTGTGTAGGCAGGAGGAAGATCCTCAGGTTTAAATCCCAGCTGAAACACACAGAGACAAACACAAAGATTTCAATCTAAATACCAGGAAACACACATTAAAGGGATCTTCACAGAAAAATTCAAATTCACTCTTTATCTACTCGTGTTTACGTTTGAAGCAGTTGTCTCCATTTACCTCAATTGTATTGATCGGCATAGTGGTGAGTAGATAATGAGTGGATTTTTTTTATTTTTGGGCGAACTATCCCTTTAAGGTACCAGCTTCAGACTCCATCTGAGGCAACAATGCCAGTAGTTCATAGGAGTTTTTACCTCATTGTAGGCGGGTGGGGGCCCAGCGTACACAGCGTTGTATTGTGGAGGTGTGAGGACCTCCTCGCTGTATCGAGGCACCCGCACCTCTTCACTGTCCTGCGGTGGAATGCTTCCATGGAAGGGAATGAAATATATGGAAGGCGGGCGGCCGTCCTGCTCGCTGCGTCTCCACACCTCCCTCTCTATCTGCTCTTCTCTGAGGCGACTGCACGCCCTGCAGAAGGTGGTGCAGAACATGATGGAGAGACCAAAGCCCAGCGTGCCCAGGAAAATCCTTGGAGAGGAGGAAGATAAAGATGTGGCTTTATGCTGTAACCAAGAAAGACTACATGCTCATGGATAATTTAAGGTTTAATAAGGTATTTAAATGTAGCAGGATCCTGGGGATCCTCAAACAGATTTGTTTTAATGTGCTGTTTATACTTCTTCAAGAGAATTGCTCATGAAAACCTTTCTGAAGCGATGTTTCAGAGATCTGCTACAGAAAAAGGATGGGAAACTTTATTAAAAGTCTGTTTGTCTTTGAGTGACTTTAAGCCAAAGACATATTATACTATATTTGTAATGCATTGCAAATATAACATTAAAATATGATATGTACCCTTATATGGTGTGAATACAATATTTCATGGTAATTTCCATATTTTGAAACCTTCATTAAAGCAACATTGTGTCATTTCTACTTGGCAACAGCGCCCCCTGGAGCCACATGTGGTGAATAATTCAGTTGGGCTCTGTGTCCGAGCGATTATGTGGTTTTCTTGAAGTATCAAAGACGATCGGTCTCTTGCCTGGACGTCTGATGGTGTCGTCCCACTCACTGAACTGAACCACAACTGAACAGTGGATATTACCCATGATCCCTTGCTTCCTGAACAAGAAGAGTTGCTGCTGTAACAAATCCACCAAACTCTGTTTATAATTATTGATATTTAAAAAAAGTTTTTCTGAATATTGAAGATAAACAGTTTTTAACTGATCCACAGTTCAGCTTCACTCTTCGACTAAATGCCGGACCTGATTCTGACGGTCGAAGCTGCAACTATCAGTGAGTTCCGAACTTCTCATGGGAGAAGTTAGATTAAAGTTATGAAGGAAAGAGGAAACATTCTCCAAATTCCAAGTCAGCGAACCATCAAACCCAAAGTCAACAAGAGAGAGGAGTTCAATCAATAACCAATGAAACATACTGATGAAAAGAAATGTGTCTTACTCTAGAATAGGAATTTCCATAATGGACATTGTTTGGAGTCGTGTGGTACAAACTCCCACTGGACCAGAATAGAGGAGGAGCAGACACCACTGAATGAACCTGAAGGGGAAACAAGAAAAACTGTGCATATGAACTATGTCAGCAAATAAAACTGGATTCATTCATCTTTCTACAGCTGCTTAACTTCACAGACTTGAACCACTCTTTTGTTCTGTTTCTTCTGTGTAAGGTACAGGCCCATTGTCTCTCCCTCTACAATAGTCTTTGCATAATAAAGCCAACTGATCGACAGAAATACTTTGAACTTCAGTCCCATAAATGTTTCTTACCAGATTAAATGATCCAAGAGGTTTTTATTGCGCGACTCAATTTGGAAAACGAATAGACCTGCTGAAAGGAAAAGCATTTACCCTGCAGTGACCTCACATGGTTTACAGGCTGAGGCACTGATTAGAGTTATTACGCAAAGACACTTGTTCCACTATGATTGTAAACGTGTCCAGTGATAGAAGGGCAGTTTCTTCATTTGACACATCCCTGTAAAATTACGTTTATCGCATGATGTCTATGATTTACTTAAGTTATCATCATTATTATATTGAGATAATAGTGTACGTGGAGGTCAAGAGGCATCAACACCAAAGCCTGACACATAAAACATGTCGTCTCAACTTTATTTAACATAGAGAGAGAGTTTATTTATCATCTAATTTGTGGGGGGGTTCTGATTGTTTAAGACAAACCTCTTAAAACCCACTGAAATACCTCTGAGACGCTTTGTCACAACGCTGAAGAGTTTCTTTTCTAAAACAAACCTGTGAAAAGTTACTCAAATCACAAGAGTGTCATTTCAATGAAGAAAGGGATGAACATCTTCGGATTTACACACTGACTCTACCTGTGGCCTGATTTCCTGTTTTGTGAGGAGGAAATTACAAGGAGCTGCGGGGCCATAAATTTATGACAGGTTTTAATAATATTTAACTTTTACCGATACGAAGAGGGAAACAAATTCAGATTCGGTAGGATGTTGAATCTGTAATTAGAAAAACTTTAGCGATATAAATATTTACCTCTTTTGAAAAGCTGAATGGATTAGGAAAGCAAACAATAAGCCACAAAAACCACAAAAGGAAGGTGAGGTCAAAACTCCCAACACACGGTCACTGAGCACTTTGTGACAGAGGCCAAGTCTGCAAACACTGACTGAACAAACAAAGAGCTTCTGCTGTTTTTCAAATATTTGTACTTTTCACTGATATTCATCTTGACAGGTTCTGTGTAACAGAGCAGTACGTTTAATTAAGAGGAAGCAGAAGCAACAACACGAGGCTCTTACCTTCTGGTCAGGTGTAGCACTGGGAGGACGAACTCACCGGTCCAGAATGTGGTTTCTACTGTGGGTGTGCTGATGAGGGGGCGGAGTGTGAGTGAGTAAGTGAGTGTGTGTGTGTGTGTGTGTCCGTGCACTGAAGCGAGTACAAAGCTCAGAATATATATCATCCACTGAAACCCCTTTAGAAATTCAGATATTCTTACGTCAGCAGCTTGTGCTCATCTTCTACACTAATGTGATGTGTATGAATAAAGGCTCCCACACATATATAAGTGTGTGTTTTATCAGCTGGACAGTGTGTTATGTTAGTTTGTGCCAAAGGTCCATCAGAGAAGTTTATGGCGGCATCAGAAGATTTAAAGTCACAGCTGCCTCTCTCCACAGGGGCTCCGCTGACAAGCACGTCAACTAAAACTAAAATCAATTTTTACATTCAGATTAATGAGATAGATTAAAAACAAAAGTTTGTATATTAGTTTAATGGGTTTAAAGCCTGAATTCACAGGATTTTCACTCAATAAAAGTTGTGTCTTTCCTTAATTAAATGTTTGTCACAGGGGCTCTGATATTATGGATGAGGCTAAAATAAGGAACCTGTGAAAATATCATCAGAGGTTATTTCCACAGACATGGAAAACATCCAGAGCTCCAGGGAACATTATGCAACTGGTGTCACAGGCCAGTTAGTTCACTCCCTTTGACGAGTGAACCTGTTTAAACACCAAGTAGTTTGACTCTGGTGTCCAATGAGGAAATGTGTTTGTGTGACAGAATGGAAACACAGGTGAGTGAAATTACCCCATAAATCTGGAAATGTAAGTTTTACTGGTTCGAAGCATATGATCCGCTGATCAGAGAAAAGAAAGGGTCCGAAGGTCACATCCATATAACTCACAGGGATAAACTTGTGACACAACGATACAAGACAAATGGAATTCAGGGGAATTTTTCAACTTTATTGGACTAAATTCAACCAACACATATTCTCCTTAGAAAACAACAGATTTGCTATGAATCCTGTTTGACTGGAGCCAAAAAATCATATTCAGATTGAATCAAATAAATTAAGTCATTGTTTTGTAACAACATTTTCCTAATAGTGCTTTTTCTTAAGTCAGCCAACAGGTGAATTTGATTAAAGTTGAACATGTTTTGCAGCATGTCATATTACAGCAGTGTGTTTTTAAGTTTTAGACATTTTATCTCAAAAGTTACTTCAAGGCACTAGAACTATATACAAAGTGCAATAGGATAAATTATTTCTGCTCTCGACTTTTTTCGGAAGTCATTCCAGTGTGGATGTTGTGGATGTTCTCACATTTTGAATGTTGGAGGTCAGCAGGTCTCTCTTTTGGCTTCGTTCTCTTGAGTCAATGTCCAGTCTTATTGTTGTTTTGTTTTGTTTTTCATGTGAAGGAAAGATTTGTACCAAGATATTTGAGAAAAATCAAATATCAGATGCAGAGCACTGCATTTCTTTTGTGCAACATTCACCGACAATGCTTCTGTTGAACATCAGCAACACAAAAAGTGAAAATTCAAACCAGCTTCACTGCACTTATCTTTGAATGTTATCAAATTAAAAGCTCACACACACTTCTGATTTAATCCACAGCACAAACACACACTAAGCCACAGACAGATACAACCAGCTCTGAATAGAACAATAAGTTGCAGAGAAACAAATTGAGAAATTAACCTCCAACTCAAAGAGCATTTGGAGCACGTCCCTCTCCCAAGGCTCTAACCCTATCAACACAATTACTGAGTTCTTCCTTTGCCCATTCCCCCCTTTCCACTAAGTTTTAATAAAATCAGTGCAGCAGCTTTTGCCTAATTCTGCTAACACACAGAAACACAGCGACGATAACATAACCTCTGGTTCTTGGAATCACAACGACGAAACCACATATGGGGCTTCTTGAACTTCTTTAACGAAACACAAATGCTTCATCAGCCTCAACTCTGCCTCCCTCTTTTACTTGAACCAGTCTTTAAACATCAAGGATAATAAAAAGTCAAGTTGGAGCAGCTCAACTGACAATCCATCTCAGAAAAGTCCAGTTATCTACTCTGGTTTCATCTCTTTATTTGTTTGTGGACTTTCTTGTCACAGAAACCAGAGGGGAAATGTTAAGAGTGGTCGTTTTCACCTGAACACTTCGTACCCTTGCTAAATACGAGGAGGGCCATTACTTCAATATGTCTTTACACAGAACACAGTTTTCAGCTGCTATATTGATGTTTAAAATCAGTTTGAAATCTGAAAAGTATTAATTATAGATCTGGGAACAGCAGTTATTTACCTTCTGAACATCACATCACAGTATTTATTTAGGCTATAGTTTCACAGAAGTGTAAAAAAGTCACTGTCTGGGTCACTTAGTTTTGGAGTGTCAAATAAAATAGATCACACTAAGTCGATTCCAAAGTATGACAGTTTTTCCCAATGTTTTTTAATCTACTGGATTATTCGTTGTTCAAGTCAGTGTTGGGTAGTCAGTAGGTTTCGCCATTCTAGTTGTCAAATATAAAAGTCATCCAACACTTGCCTTTAGCAACATAACTATCCGCACCAGACTTTCTCCTGGAACTATAAATCATCATGCACTTTGTGGCTGCGTCGGTCGAGCCAGGCCTTTAGCAGAGGAAGGTTGGTGTCCATCCAGCGGATGTTGTCCTCGATGCTCTCGTAGCTCTGCTGGATACATCTCATCTCTGAGCCCGTCTCCTCGGTCAGGGAGCCAAAGAAGCTTTGTACCTGAGCGCACACAGAGGAGGAAAGCCTTAACATACACACACACACACGAGACCAGAAAATACACATCCATCCCCAGAGCAAGCTTTAAAATAGAACAAGCTGTGATGACGAGATACAAAACACTAAATATGATAAATGACAAACAGACTGCATTTGTTATAGCGAGCCATGTGGTTCAGAGGACAGTTCAATCTGCACTTCTTACTCTTACCTCATGCAGCATCTCCCTGGTAGAATACTGGTTGGTCACACCCTTCACCATGTATGAGATTGTGTTGGAGCCGAGGTCAAACCTGAGTCATCAAACACAGTAAAACACAAATTCAGAGTTCAGGAGACGCAAATCTGTTTTATTCAAAAAGAGAAGGATTGGTATTAGCTGTCAATCACAAAATATCCACGCCCCAATGAATTCACTGCTTTATCGTCTATCTGACTCTAAATGTGAGCGCCGTTTCCAGAATCAACATCATGCTGTGTTGAAGAAGACTTGAAACTAGAGACTGAGCCCATAAACTGTTTACTGACATTTTAAATCACGTGAGAAGTGAGAAGTCATTTTCTTTTAGACTTCGACAGAAACAAACTTTAACCTGTGGAGTCGCCATCTGTTGGACATTTGAGATAGTACACGTTTCTGGCACTTAAGCACTGGCTTCAAATTCTTTACGCTGCTCCATGTGATTTTTTTGGAAAACTTGTTTTTAGTGTCTGCCAGCCTGAAGTCAAATCCGAAACCCTTTTAGTAACGTAGGTCGATGCAACTGGTGCAATTAAGTACAAATTATACAAAGTTAGAAAGGGACAGAAATGTGTGAATGGCCGACTGACTTCTTGATGAAGGTGTGCCAGTTGGCTCGGAAAAAGTCCCAGGCCAGTTTGTAGCCGTGGAGGTTCCTGCTGACGGCGACGACCACGTCTGGGAGGTCCTGAGTCTTCATCACTTCACCGTGGAGGCTCTGCTCCATCATCCTGCAGACACAAAGAGAAGGTTAAGGGAGCGGGCAGAGGGGTCACTGGTCCATTACTGATCGTTTTCCTTTTACATGGAGTACGCACCACTTGAGCTTGTCCTGCAGCGAAGTGACAGTCATTGCGGATTTCATGCGGAACTTGACAGACATTTGCATCGAATTGCGGTATTTCTCGAACAAGAAGTCCCACCCCTCCGGAGTTCGAGCTCCAATCACAAACACAGCCATGGTGATGTCGACCGGGAGACTAAAAACAGAGACGACTTTCACTTCAGAAAGCAGCAGGTGAAAATCTTTACATACAAGCGCTCGTACATTTTGTCCTCCAGTCAGTTAACTTTTGTTTGTGCTGTTAAGGACCCCTGACCTCATGTTGCCATCAGATTCCTTCCACTTGTTGAAGAGCTGTGTGGCTTTGGTCAGACAGGGGGCGTAGTTCCTGACACAGGCGAACAAGAGCAGGTAACTCCTGAGCACTCGCTCAGACACCGATCCAGAGTCAGACCACTCCTGACGATCAATCAGCCCCCGGAACAGATCCACAATGTAGGTCTGAGGAAACAACAATGGCTGCTGTATGAATTTATACTGCAATGACACAAGGTCCCACTGATAACTCAGCTCCTCTACTAAGAAATAATTCAGTTTCAGCTTAAAGACAATATTGAAGACTTTTATGTTTCTTAATCACGTGTTCTGTAACGTGACTGCTGCCTTCACTGACCTTCATCTGGTTCTCCAGAACCTCCATGTCTCTCTTCTCCATCAGTTTGTAGAGAGGTACAAGTTCTCCGAAGCCCTGAGTCACAGCCATGATCTCAGTCTCTCTGGACAGGTAGAGCGACAGCTCCAGAGCTGTGTCCAGCCTCACCTTCCCGATACTGCAACGCAAGACAGGCTTCAAATCAACACCACGCTGCAGTGTAGATTTATCAACAACAACAAACAGCCAGTACACTGAGACTAACTGATGTGGGATCTGTGTGGATGTCTAACAACCGACCTGACCAGCTGGAAGACGTTCTGGATGAGGCTGGCTCGGTCGTTGCTGGTCAGAGCCGTGTGGTTGTGGTGCAGCAGTCTGATGATGGAGTTCCACCCCTCGCCTGCATAGTGGACCATGTAGTAGCCACACATGTCCACGTTGAACTTCACCCACTCCACCTCCTCTGGCAGATACAGGACATCTGCATGGAGGAGCGCGGAGTAAAGGACAGCAGACTTGTGGAATTAACATTTTATGCATGTGGCTAAAGGTAAAATAATAATAATAAAGATGTATAAATTAATTTCTAAATCTGCCTCCTCACACTGAGTAACACACTCACCAGTCTTGGTTTTCAGCAGGAAGCGGTGGACAGTGTTGGAGGCGCTGGTCACATAGGTGAGTGGAATCTGCCACAGGAATCTATCAACACACAACAAATCAAAATAAAATAAGATGAGAAGGAGCTGTTTAGAAAATGTAGCTCTGCGGCTTTATTATTTACCCTTCAGTGAGGGAGGGGTCGTCCGTCTTCAGGTAACGCTCCTGACTGAGCCTGACCTCGCGACCTCTGACCTCCACAGTGACCAGCGGGAAGCCCTCCTGCAACGTCCAGGTGTCCATGATGGCCTTGACGTCCAGCTCATCACCAGAGTACCACTTCTGAACGGACACACACATATCCATACACAATCAATCATTTAGCATCATGGACACTGACAGATTTGTGGCTCCATCAATGGTCCTCTCCTCAGCCGGGTCGCTTAAAAGCGTGAAAACTTACAGAGGCTCCAGACTGGACTTTGCGTTTGGAGCAGAAATCTTCGTGTTTCATTCGACCTTCGTCCAAATCATCTGAGCTGCAGATCTGTTGAGGAGAGGCACAAAACTTTGACAGGGAAACATGATGATACAGACACAGAACCAACTGGTTTTATAATTTAAGAACTTCAAAGCAAACAAGCACTGTGTGTCCCCTGGGCTTTAACAATCATTATTTGAAACTCAAAATGTAAATTCCATTTAACCCTCTTCCACTTCACGCACACACGCAGCACTCACATCGGTTAGGCTCTCCCACAGGTGGCTGTTGACTGTGTTTTGGTAGCTGAAGCGCTTTAGGTATTTGATGATGCCGATCTCAAAGGCCTCCGGGGTCAGGAAGTCCCGCAGCATATTCAGAATACATGCTCCCTAAAAGAAAATAAATACACACATGCATGCTGAAAATTACCAGACAAGACACATCCAGTTGTGTGATTAAGTACTTCAATAATTTTGTACCTGGCTTTTAATGTTATATTTCAACTGCAGTTTTGAGGATTTATGCAAATTCAGGGGAAATCGCTCGCTCATATTCTGAGTCTATTTTCTGCCCCTTGCCCGAATTACAGAACAGTTTAAATATCCAAGTGCATCAACACTAAATGAAAGGTCCTCATCCCAGAATGAAGCTGACCTTGTCATATGACACGTCGTCGAACATCTCCTGGATCTGCATGGGGTTTTCCACGGGGGTGGAGACTGGGTGAGAGGAGCTGAGGGAGTCCACCTCCATGGCCTCAAAACATTTTCCCAAGAAAAAGTCGTCCTGGGAGAAAAAGAAAAGAGGGAGGAGAAAATAATCTTTGTGGTCATATCTAACTGTTTATTGAAATAAGAGTTATTATCTTTCCTGTTAGTCCAGTAAAAATGTCTCAATATTCATGTGTCAGGTCCCTGTGCTCCGCTCTCACCACTTGCAGCTCTGGGTACGTGACGCGGAGAGAAACATACTCCATGAATTTGGCGAAACCCTCGTTGAGCCACAGGTCGTTCCACCACTCCATCGTCACCAGGTTCCCGAACCACTGGAGATCATGGAAGAGAGAGAACATGGAAGAACAGCTTAATCCCAAGAAAGGATGAAAGTGAACAGAAGCTAATTAAAGTTCGAGCTGAGCTTCACTGTAGATTCTACAGATCATTAATTCATTAGAAGTAAAAGGATTCTTCATTATTTCCCAAAAAATTCTGTTACTCTTCATTTTCTTCATAACTAAAGCTGATGGATGAAGCACAGGACAGACACACACACGTACCTGGTGTGCGAGCTCATGGGCGATGACCTTAGCGATACCCAGTTTGTCTGAAGCTGAAGACCTCTCTGCGTTGAAGAGGAGGCCCGTCTCTCTGTAGGTCGTCAGCCCCCAGTTCTCCATCGCACCTGACTGGAAATCAGGGATAGCAGCCAGGTCTGCAGAGAACAACACAAGCACATAAATACAGTGAAATGTTGTGTAGTCACCTGCAGGTCCGACTCTTATACAAGTACTAAAATCTCCTCTGTTTATATTGAAATATATGTGTATTTAGGTCGAAGTGATCAATGACTAAGCAGTAGGACTTTATTAGAGTTTCTACTGATATTCAGGTATAATATCATTTTTCCTACAGACCCTGTTTGGGAAGTGGGTAAGGAATATCAAAGTAGTCATCGTAGAAGTCCAGCAGAGTGACAGCAGCATCCAGAGCGAAGGCCGTCTGATCGATCTTCTCAGCTACAGCGTAGACTGAAATCTGACGGGAATCACGCTCTTCAGTATTAATATAACAGGAAGTGGAAAAGTCGACTGACAAATTCAAATGTATGTTGCATAAAATGTTCAAGATGTCTCTCCAAAGTAAATGGTGTCCTCACCTTGACGCCGTGCTTGGTGGTCTTGCTCACAGACAGGAAATCAGACACAATGTAGGCCACCAGGTACGTGCTCATCCTAACAGAGGTGTCAAAGTGATCCTCCAGCAAACCGCCTGGCAACTCCACTGTTTTAACCTGAGAAATAAAATGTGTGTGGTGAGAGAAACGTAGAAAAGGACAGAGAGGTCGGTGTGTCCAATGTGAAATTCATTATTAGATGGTAGAGGAACGCAACATGTTCTTATTTGTAATAATCCCGCATTTCATTTGTATTCAAAACAATTTCCTTGTACCTTAGGCATGTTGGATATGGTTATGTGCCGCGGCTCTCGTATGATCTGTATGGTGAAGTTGGCTTTGAAAGCAGGTTCATCAAAACAGGGGAAGGCTCCACGAGCAAACGTTGCTTCAAACTGTGTGGACGCCAGAAACCTAATAAATGATAGTGAAATAAAAAGACATTATGTGAAAATTATGTAATGAGGCTGAAGGACAACTTCTGTTTCTATATGTAGCATTTTGAGCAACAATTTATAATTGACAAATTTGCTGCACACTCATCTTTTTATATGTTATATCAATTAACTGCATTTAAGCCAACATCAGTGTGCTAGAACAAATCTCAGGCTCTTACCGGACCTCCCCGCTGCTGGTGCGGTAGCTGCTCTTGTAGAAACCGTGGTAGCTGTCAGACAAGTTGGCAGCAAACTCCAGCTGAACTTCATACTTCCTTCCTTTAGTCAGCACGGAATCCGACAGCAGGGCGAGCTGATGGAAATGTGGATACTCCAGCACCTGGAGAGGCCTCACGCCTTCGGGCGCCAGGAGCAGCACGTTAGATATCTGCATCTTCTTGGCATGGAGGACGATCATGCTGGTGTCTTCAATCACGTCCAGCTCGATGCGAACGAGGCCAGTGAAGTCCAGGGTGGTCAGGTTGGGGTGGATGGAGAGGTCATAGTGGAGCGGGTAGATGGTTTGGGGAAGTCTCATGCGGTCCCATGGGAACAGCTGGCCGTTGGTGGCGATGGGGGGTTCCTTGGATTGGCTCTGATTTGGCAGCTGGGCTCCAGATGAGGGAGGGAAAGGAAGGAACAGCAGCAGCAGGAGAGGAGCCACTGACATGGTGACACTGAAAGCAGGAAATCCTCTCACCTGTAAAATCCAATTCACACAAATGCATAATCATGTTCAGGAACATTATTGCTTTATGTGTATTTTCTATTTCAATCTGATTTAAACACACACATTTTATTTCCTCAGGACCAGAGGACACAGATAGATCTTCTAGCATCACTTTAATTTCTTTGTCGTCCAGCATCTCTATTCCAAATGGTGAAAGGTGCAGTATTTTCAATTACATGTCACCATAGTTTTTTCGTAATTGTAACATTACAACATGATAACTTTAAAAATCATCAAGATTAACATCTCATTATTATTTCCTTTAAGTGTAAATAGTTTTTTTATTTCTTCTTCATGACCAGAGAAACACTTTAAAACACAGTGAAAACCTTTACAAATCTAAAGTGGATCATTTATGTGTTACAGCTCCTCCCTTCATCTATGAGAAACAAATTGAACCTTTAATATATTACTATTACTGAAGATCAACAGTATTATTACCCAGTCTTTCTTCGACACAACTAGACAATGACACACATGGCACATGATCTGGAAACACGACACTTTCGTTCTCACACTAGTTTCTATTCGTTCATGCTCCAAAATAAAACCTCAAGGAACATAACAGAGCCGGACAGGATGGACTGGGTCGATGTTTGGAACAGAAACATTTCTCACAATGATCTTATTTCTTCGTGTCTCCACTCACCTTCGTTTCCTGCTTCAATTTAACGCTCAAATAATCCAAGAGTGAAAGTGAAAGAGATGGAGGAAATGCATTGTGGGAAAAAACAAAAGAGCGGATCCCTCCTCCGCTGTGTGAAATTCAGTTTATATCTCAGATGATTGTGAAACTGTGGTGACAAATACTGAGACTGTTTCGTGTCTGATTTTACATTTCTGCAGATTACACAGGAAACTAAGGTCGTCTACCTTCATGTACGTGTCCCGAGCTGCTTTTTTTAAATTATCAAATAAATCCATGAGCTCTGAATGTAGATGTGGAGTTAATGAACGAGTCCGTGAAGTTTATAAAACTAAAACAAATAAAAGAGAAATGACGGAAACAAGAAGAGAAAAGTCGTGTTTGCAGGAAACTTCCGTGTTGTTGCTAAGACCCGCCCCTACACTACCTCTGATTGGCCTACTCTGATACGCCCTCCAAACGCTATCAAATCACCAGTCATCATGTCTGAACCTAAACCAATCAGAGGAAGGGTAGGGGGAGGGTCTTCTCCCTGCTCAGGAAACACTGAACCGCAGTAGTCTGCGGTGTTACCTCTCACCGCTAGAGGCCGCCATTTCTATTCCTGTTGATTTCATTAGAGTAAAGTTGAGCTAAATCAAAGTTTCTTCCAAATTAATAATTTAATAAAAATGTAAACTAAGTATATTCAACGCCTGCTACTGATTGATTAAAAATCTGTCCATGGTAAATGTAAAGATTCCTTCACAAATACAACTGTTATTTATGATTCATCACAAATCACTCAGGCTTTGAAACGACACTCTCAAACTCATTGTGTTTTTTTTTTAAAGTAAAGTTTAGTTGAACGTACAGCAACATAATTTACCATCAATATCGTTTTACACTCACATTCACGTCGTCAACAAAAAAGTTTTACTGCTAATTTTACAACTTTTTACAAAACTTAGAAAACAAAGACTTTATTGTATCAATTCTTTATGCAATAAAATACATGGTCATGGATTCTGCTTCATAAATATATAATAAAACAGCTGAATAACAAATTCAATGGCTTTGCATGTCACGATGGTCTCAAAATAAAAAGTTCAGGTTTGTGATAAAATAGTTTTATAAATGACTCCAGAACATAATGGAGAAATACAGTGAAAACAAATTGAGAGTTGATTTCCTTGTTCAATCACAGATGTTATTCATATCAGTCTTGATTCTTTCCAGTGATTTTTACACAGGACTTAAATTCTCCCTTGAATAACTTGAATGGTCTGTCATAAAACTCACTCGTGTGGATTTCTGCCCTGAATATGTTGACATAAGATTGTGATTTTATTGTTGCACTGAAAGCTTTTGTATCATCCACGGAATATTGTTTGGACCCAGTGGTTTTGGTTAAACACACCATTATCATATTCAAAGTTTTACTTGTTTAATGTTATGCAAAATTGAAAATACAATTTGTAAAATGGTTAAAGCTATAAATCTTTTGCACATGTCTGCTTTTGTTCTTCATGAACCCGATAGGATTTAACATTTTAACTAAAAACAAATAATGCACTACTGTCGATCGCCTGAACTTCAAATACTGTAGGTTTGTGTGCAAAAACATGGATTTAAACTCCCTCACATACACACAAAGGGCTAAAGTCCATCCCATACGCAAACAGTAATGAGTAAACCTTGCAATGATAATACCTCTGTCTTATGGGAGGTCCCTGAGCAGCTGCTCTGGTGTCACAGAGATCATTTGGGAATCAGAATCAGAATCTTACATCATGAGTTCATGAGCAACACCCTGTCACCAAAAACACTGTGATCACTGGAGAGTCGGCCACAGGACTCAGGACCACAGAGGAGGGGAGCTCGACTGTTCTCTTGAGGAGCTTATCCCAGGGAGGAGGATGATAAAGCAGGTGTTGATTGGGATCCTGAGTGGCGCTGCCATACTGACCGCAGGTATCCTGATCGGCCACTATGGAATCACAAACAGCAGCAGCTCGGCACCGTCCTGGATGAACGATGTGACCAAGGATGTGGACGAGAGTCTTATTGTACAGTTCTTGTCTGAGGTGGACAACATCCAGATCCAGGAAAACTTACGGTGAAAAGATGAATGATTATATTAAGATTCTGTAAGGCACTGAACCCACTGTTCTATGATGATTACTAATGATTTTAAATGTGTAAATAGAAGATTAAAGGGGAAAACACTTAGTTAAAACACTAGTTTGTAAGTAATAAAAGAGGCGGATTATTAAAGGATTTCATAGTGAAATGACTAAAAGTCCAATGATGTTCATTTGAAAACAAGGGAATCTTTGCTCAGCATATTCCTGAAGGTTTCCTCCAATTCTAAGACCATAGAAGCTCTAACAGATTGAACGATCTCTTTGTGGTTCCCTCAAGGAATCTGTTTCAAGCTTTAGATCGTAACTGAACGGCTCTCGTCTGTATCCGCTTGTTCCTCCACAGGGAGCTGACAAAAGTGCCCCACATGGCCACCACAGCTGGAGATGAGCAGACGGTGCAGTTCATGCTGAAGAGATGGCAAGACTCAGAAACCGGTCTGGACCAGGCCTGGAGAGAAGAGTACATGGTCTACCTGTCCTTCCCGGACCCCAAGAAGCCCAACAAGGTCACTGTAGGTGAGCGGACAGGTCACAGCATCCTCGTCCAGTAAATACTGTCCAGTCTGAAAAACCCAATGCCACATTTCACTTGTTTCCCCATTGTGTTGCTTCAAAGTAACTTCAACTACAATATTTATTTGCTTGGAAATACAAAGAAAACCAAACGAATCCCTCCCAAAAAGTTTGATTTTGATCATATTCTCGTGTTGTTCAACATTCCTGAGGTTTTCATTCTGCCTGAGAGCTTTATGCCAACAGGCCGGTCACCATGACTTCTTGATTTCAGTGAACCCGTCGGACACTGTGCTGTACACCGCCAGAGAGAAAGAGAAGCCTTACACTTCGGATCAAGCTGATCCTGAGGTGGTTCAGCCGTACGCTGCGTACTCCCCTGCAGGACACGCAAAGGTAACAAGCAAAAACACATCTCTGTGTATCTCACACTCAGTCTAAATGGTGGCTGATCACAAATTACAATCACAAGCTTAATGTTTTAATTCAGTGATTCAATCAGATTTAGTTATAAACTGCAGATTACTCCATAACCCCAAACGTTTTTGTTTTCATGTTTTTGCCTATCGATACGTTGATGTGTGGGTAGATGGACAAATAAAAAGAAGGCTGGTGTGTGTTATAATTATTTACTAAAACTATAAAAGTCCCATGATAGTCACCTCTCTGGTTCACAGGCCCACATCATGTGCTAACCTGTTGTAACCTTCAAGGCAGACAGATAACACATTTCTCTGTTTTTGTGTCGTAGACTCACAGAAACATCTGTGAAAATGCAACGAGGTCACAATTGATTGAAATATATAAGTTTGAAGAGCAGAGCAGGAATCTCTGGACTCCACAAGCACATGAATCACTGACTCTGTATATAATCAAATGTTAAGATCAATAAATCATCATTTTTCACTCTTTAGTTTCCTGCTGCCATCGATCTGTGTTAAGCTGCAACGTCTTCAAGGCCTAAAGTTACTTATCAAGATGATAAGATGATGATGTCAACTGATTTTATGAACTAACGAGTGCCCATCGGTTAAGATTTACGTAAGACAGGTTTATATGGAACATCATAATCTCTATGAGCGGAGGAGGCGGCAGTTGTAAAGAAGAAGATAAGAATACACAGTCTTTTGTTTGTTTTGTTGCATCTGAACTCACAGAGAAGAGTTTGGTGAAAGTGGTTTTTAAGAATCAGAAAACAGTGTATACATGTTTTGTGGGGTATAAATGGTGGGTAAATGCACAAAAGTTAAACTCGTTATGTTTGAGTTACTCCTGCATCGTTGCTTTTGTCATAATGTTGACTTTTTGTGATGGTTTCAGGGGAAACTGGTTTACGCCAACCAGGGGACACCAAGTGACTACCGGCGGCTGAACCAGACAGTCGACCTGAGAGGAACAATCGCAATCACCAGATACGGCGGAGCAGGACGAGTAGCTAAAGTGAGCTTCAAGCTAAGATATACATGTATATAAATACAGTTTTCAGTTGTGTGTGTGTGTGTTTGTGACAGGAAACGACAGGAATCATCAGTAGGTCAACATCTCAACGCCTTTATTGAGACAGTGGGACAAACTTGAACAATCTTTGTACTGCACAAATCATCTACCAGTAATACTTTAGTCAAACCTAATAGATGACACTGATCATCAATACTAAAAAAAATTTAAAAAACTGACAAAAAACGGAAAAGTCAAATATGAAACTCAGAAATTAAAAGGTTTGAGCAAACTTGTACTCTGAAGTTTCCAAGTGGTCTGTTACAGTGAGTTTATTGAGTTTATTTATTATAGTGATTACTTCATTCATTTTCATGCAAAGTACACGGCTGAGGGCAAGGTCGTTTTTCACGGAGCAAAGTGCAAAAGTAGTTCAACATCACATTCAATATGGAAACATAACAGAGGTGGGTGTGGCTGCAGGTTATCAAGCTTGTGTTTGTACGACTGAAAAAACAATGACAGGCAAAGTAATTATGTTGATAAGGTCCCTGTAAGTAATTATACAATAAAAGCTCAGTATATACTTTATAAAAAAGTGAGTATGTAGAAATATAACATATAAAAACTCTAAGCATGAATAGAAAATTATATTATTGTATTATAAAACAGAATAGTATATAAAAAATTATACAATAGCATTCCGACAATACAAATTAGTAGGTGATAACAATGAAAGACAATAAAAGTTTAATGATAGTGTAATAATTGTATAAGTATTGTAGCAATATTTATATATATCATATATGTGGTTTATATCATATCAATGCTAATAATAAGTAGCCAATGTAATTACACATGTACAAAATACCACGTGTGTCTCATCCAGGCCATAAACGCAGCAGTGTACGGGGTCCTGGGCGTGCTCGTCTACACAGACCCTCTGGACATCAACGACGGTCTGATGTCAGACGTGAATGAGACGTATCCTCACTCCTGGTACCTGCCGCCCTCTGGTGTGGAGAGAGGATCCTTCAAGAGTTTCTTTGGAGACACACTCACACCCTACCTGGCTGCCAAAGGTAAAGAGTACACACAACAAAGTACACACACAGTAGAGGTACTCTTTTTTTGTTATATTACTTTTCCATAAATCCTACAGAAAAATAAGTTTTCGAATGATGATATTTCTACCGATTCATTATTTTGCAGAGGAAACCTACAGAATTCCAGTCGAGAACATCACAGGATTCTCTCCTATTCCAATTCAACCGATCGGATTTGAGGATGCGTACAAATTGATCTGGTCTGAGATGAGATAAACATTTGAACCTATGTTATTGATGCAGCACAAAATAGTCAATATGATGCTATCTGCTGCTAACTCTCCTTCTCCTCTGGGGTGATTCAGTGAACTGGGAGGAGAAGCAGCTCCAGCTCCATGGCAGGGAGCCTTCAACTGTACCTACAGGTTTGGAGGTCCAGGGTTCAGGAACACATCAGACTTCCGCAACAGGTGAAGCAACACACACACTCAGGGAATAGGTGCACGGAAGTCTGAACAGTAATAATTATTAATATTCTTGATTTGGATGAATGATGTGAATCACTCCAAAACAGAAAAGGTGGAAAACTCCAGCACTGGATTTTTTATGTTTTTGAAATCTTATTCACTCATCACACAGTTCTTTATGCCATTCAATATTGTTTGTTTGATTAATTAAAAAAAATCATATTTAGGTGAGCAATGTCTTTACAGTGATGAGATAAGATTAAAAAAATGTTTTAGGAAAGTTCTAAAACTTTCAATATTAGCTCCTCACTTTAAATTATTGTATTTGCTATGATCCTGCATTCACTTGTATTTGCAATTTCACGGAATCTCACCTTCATTTTGAAATTACAAAAGGAAGTTATCAAAATCTTATATATATATATATATGCAAAACTTCATTTGTTACTTCATACATGTTGAATTTCTGTCCCAGTGATGTGAAACTGGACGTCTTCAACTACGAAGAGGTGAAGAACTCCTCCAACGTGATGGGAGTGATCAGAGGGAGCGTGGAGCCGGGTGAGACTAGTGAATCAAAACCAAATGATGACATTAATCATTTTCATCCCGTGATTAATCTGTGAGTGTGCGTTCGTGTCCACAGACAGGTACGTGATCTACGGGAACCACCGGGACAGTTGGGTTCACGGTGCCATCGACCCCAGCAGCGGGACGTCGGTCATGTTGGAGCTGACCAGGGTTCTGGGTCAGATGGTGAAGCAGGGTGAGCAGAGTCATGGCTTCTGATTGTATCAGACTGAATGCTGTGCTGGATAATAAAAATCTAATTTCCTCTGCTCTCTGCTGCAGGTAAATGGAGGCCTCGCAGGTCCATCATCTTTGGAAGCTGGGGAGCGGAGGAGTTTGGACTCATTGGATCTGCAGAGTACACAGAGGTGATTTATAATGAATCCACACACTTTGACAAAATGTGAAATCTGATTTGTTAGTTTTAAAATAAGACAATGTACTTCAAGGAAGCTTGAATACGCACCTGTTTATAATCCACATCTTGGCATTCAATTTAATCTAAAACAATTTAATCGCAGTTATTTTATTCTTCTCTTTTTACGTATTTCCTGTTGTTTGTCTGCAGCAATACTTCACCAAGCTCAGCGAACGCACCGTCGCTTACATCAATGTGGATATCGCTGTTTTTGGTAAGAAGCTCCACCTGCAAATCATCACAGGCTTTGTTGACTATGTGGCTTTGAAAAAACATGTGGGAATTGTTAATTTAGCCTCAGATGTTCGGAGGACTGTTGTTGAAACGATCCTGTCGACACAAAATATAAAATTCATGAAGAAGATTTACAGTCTTACTGCAGGTTCTGTTCACTGACCAATGTCCAAGTCTCACTGTCTCATCTCAAGTTAATAATGAATCCAACATTACCATCTTCCACTGTTCAGCCAACGCCACCTTCAGAGCTTCAGGGATGCCATCAATACAGAACATCCTCTTCACAGCCGCAAAGCAGGTGAGTTCTTCATAAAGAAGATCTCAAGTCAGTCTCTGCAGCATCATGATTTGACCCCGTCACACGTCTCTGTGTTTGCTCACCAGGTAAACGCACCTGGACTGGATTCCACGTCTGTGTACGACAACTGGATACGATACTTCAACAGGACGAGCCCGGCCCGAGGTGTCGTTCCCAGGTAATGAAGTGCACGGTAACGTCCTATGTGTTGCATTGCATCCTGGGACTAGAACTTGTGATTGGATATTTCAAACAATTGGGTGAAGGTTGGTTGAAACTGTTCATATCCTGGATCAGATGGTCGACTGTGAAAAGAAGCATACAGGCACATCAGATGCTCGGTCACCACAGTAACATGAGATGTTTTGTTGCTTTTAAATTCCAGTATGTGTTCATGACAGTTTGAATTACTGTCAGAGCAGTTGGTTCCTACAGACCATCATTTATCATGAGTGATGTGAGGTTTTATTCCTATAGAAATCTCAGGTCTGACAATAAACCGATGCAACAAATGGATTTGTTTCTGTTTACCTTGGACAGTGTGGGATACCTGTCCAGTGCAGGGAGTGATTACGCTGCCTTCGTCCATTACCTCGGAATCACCTCCATGGATCTTTCATACACATACGACAGGGTAGGAAACTCGCTGTATGGTCACCATTCAGATTTCAGGAGTGTGATACAGTTTGATTACTTAGCTCAACCAAAGCCCTTGAAATGTCTGTCATATGGATGTTTTTCTTCCCACAGAGTAAAACGAATGCTCGTATTTACCCAGCGTACCACACAGCATATGACACCTTTGACTACGCCTCAAAGTTCATTGATCCCGGTAAAGGACGCTGTCTTCACTGTTGTTTTTCTTGTTCTATACTTCTTATGCAGCAACACTCAGTGGTAGAAATTATATATTATCCACTTGTATTTCTCAGCCTGATGGGCTCTACTCCATCCCTTCATCTTCTGATTTCTCCTCTCAGGGTTCGTCAGTCACCAAGCAATCGCCAGGACGGCTGGAAACGTCCTGATCCGATTGGCCGACAGCCTGGTGTTGCCACTAAACTGCAGTGACTACGCAGAGAGTCTGGAGGACTACCTCAATACTGCAGTGACACTATATGAAGACCAACTGAAAGCTAGGAACATATCCATGGGTAAGATGGTTTGAGATGTTTATTAAAGGGAATATTACAGAACACAACACACAGAGATAGAAATCTGAACTTCCCTCAGCCGCACAACATTTACACTTTTTAAAAACACACTTTATTTTCAAGGTTTTCCTTACTCTGTAAAGCAGCCTGGGTACCTCAAAAGGTGATATATAAATCAAATATTTATATACAGGTATAGGTGATTTATATTTATTCTGGATTTTAGGTTTAATTACGTCATTTACAGTTTAATTTGTCTGTTTTATGGCACGTTGAGCCAAATTTGATAACTGTTGGACCAAAGATAGATGACGTCTCCGAAGCCAAACGTGATTTAGAGAAGGTGAAAACTTTTGCATTGATCCGGGTTTTCTTTCAGAGCCACTAAAACATGCAGTGTGCAGCTTTCGCAGAGCAGCTTCTCATTTGGACCAAGTGATTCACAGTTCAGACCTGGCAAATGAAACGTAGGAGCAAAACCATTCTGTTCCCATGCAGACGTGTTGCTATCTCCTCTGGTGTGCAGATAGAAGTCTACGTCAATCATCCCTCTCTCTCTCCATCTCTCTTATCTTAGACCACTGAAGGTCAGAGGGATCAACGACCAGCTCATGCTGCTGGACCGAGCCTTCCTGGACCCTCTGGCCTTCCCAGATAAATATGTGTACAGGTAAGAATACGATCTCCCAGCCTCATGTCTTCATGCTGCAATGTGCGTTAATTGTTTGGCTGCTTATCGTTGTTATATGATCTCTTTCATCACACAGGCATGTTATCTGGGCTTCGAGCAGCGCCGGCAGACCAACCTTCCCAGGTCTGGCTGATGCTTATGCCAACGCTGAGTCATCAACTCAGTCGAGCGACTGGGACAAAGTGCACTACCACCTGTCAGTCCTGAGCCAGGCCATCGAGGGCGCCGCCCACATGCTGGCCGATGTCATTTAGACGAAGAGGAGGAACGACACCTACTCAGAGATTCTTGGGTTTAACCCTGTCTGACCCTGCAGCGAATGAGCACTGATCTCCTGGGCCACGATTTATTATTCATGGGTTTAGGAATCAATGAACAAAGCTCATCCCCAAACAAAAACATGAATGATGTCTTTGTCTTTGTCACTGGATTAAAATATTTAAATACCAAGATGACTCCTCAATTGTAAACATTAAAGATTAGCCAGTTATTCATGTAGATATTTTTAACACCAACTCTTTAAACAGACCTCTGTACAGGTCTAAAGTACCTGGTTGTGGTTACAAACATTTGTCTGCAGAGAAACTCTACTGTGGGAAACTGAATGTCTTTCTACACAAGATCCATGAAAGCAACGAGGACAACAGACCCTCAGGCACATGTAATGAAACCTCATGAAGCACCACACAGTAACTACATTATCTTTTTCTCTTCATGTTCTTGTGAAGGACCAAGACGTCTTTGTTGTATGAAATCAATGAGCCACTCTCCGAACCTGGTTATGTTCAGAGTAATAGAGTCTCTTATCGTTCATCGTCCTCCGTGTAACAGAGGAGATGACAGCGTGGCTGAATGTCTTCAAGTTAATGTTTTACATAAAATTCAGTGCATTAAAGTGTACACAGGATATTTACATGTTAAACACAAAATATTTCTATTGTGGTGCAGTGTTTATGAACCAGAAGTTCATGGATTAAGATCATTGCATGTGCTGGGTACACGGGATAAAAGCCTTTACAGAGAAAACGTTTGAGTTAATCATGGTTACAAGAATTAGTGTAGTGGTGCATCAAATGATTTAGTTTGTTAAAGCCTTCATTTGAAAGCTATTGCCCGAAAACAGAACCTGCCGCTCAAGAAACGTTTTGGGCCCTCGGTTACTCTCAGATAGATGGGCCTGCAATACCAGCGTGTACCAGCAGGAGTCAGAAAATGCTTTGCAACAGTCCTACAGACCAACTAAAAATATAAGCAATAGCTGTAATATATATATATATATATATATATATATATATACTTATTTGCTTCCTATATATATATGTATGTAGAGAGAGAGAGAGAGAGAGAGATGTTCCTCAGTATTTTTAGCAGCGGGATATTTACTTAACATTTCCTTTTTTCAGCAACACTGACTGAGTGACTTGACATTTGTTGAACTGCTCAGAACCAAAGACTGTGTTTCCTCACACAGAGAATTTTCAGCGGCGCAGCAGAGGTTAGAGAAGGAAGCACTTTTATAACCAATAGATTCCTCCGATTTTTAAATATTCTACCAACAGGAATGTGTTTGTGACTGTTCATCAGCTGCCTCCTTCATTGTGTGTGTGTGTGTGTGTGTGTGTTTGTGTTTGTTTATCAGAATCTGACGTTATGTCTTCACTTTGCTTTTTATCTGGCTCGGTTTGAAAAGCTCATGTTAAGAGTGCTGTAAATACACAGCTTATGTAACCTTGATGGAACATTAACTTCTTTGTGAACTTGTTATTGATATTTTTCATTGCTGATCAGTCTCAGATGATAAACACTGGAAATAAAACATTGTGGTGCAACACAGATTAGCTGCTTATCGTCAGTCTGGGTGAAAATCAACACATAATTATTCATGAGACTTTGACACTATCAAGACAACTCTGGAAAAGATCTAAAGGGGCATGACCCTACTTTCACAGACATTTAGTTAACTTATCTTTATTATTATCATTATTATTATGAAGTCTGTGAAAACAGTTTTTTGGCCCTGGAAGATTTGTTTTAGTTAGTTAGGAATCCCCTTATTTTCTTTAAACTTCCTCAGATCCTATTTTTAAATAAAAGCAATAAAAAGTGAACCTCACTGACCTTCCTCTTGACTGTAACATGAAACCCAAATGCAGGCTGCTCTGATTACCTCCACCAAAGTGACTATGTTTTCACACATTTGTTGGTTTGGTTATTTTACAGGATTACGCACATACTACTGAATGGGTTTGGTAGAAAGACGTGGGCCAAGACAGAACCCATCACTTTTAGAGCACAAACTTCTGATAACTAATAATCTTTCTCTCACTTTGTTTAATTTCACTTGATATGCCTTTTTGTCCCTGTACATACCAGGATTTTATTTGTCATAGTCATGTTATTGATTTATTATCTGTCTGTGTATGTTCTTTATTTAAAACCAGTGTCTATATGTCATTTGTATGTTTTTCACCCTTCACCTTGTCAGGGACTGCAGATGAAAACCAGGCTGCACTGCTAAATCAGGCACATCTACACTTCAGTGGAGATACTAATTCATGTAAATTGCCTCTTTTAGATTAACACAAATTAAAATACCCGGTGTTATAATGATGAATAGGATAATATTTTGTACCAGACATTGTTGTGGCTGTACAACTTGAGTAGGCAGCGTAGCCGTGACTGGAAGAGCAACTACTAAACATAACATTTCATGACATGATGAAGAAAATGGCAGATGGCCAATCCACTGAGTAGAGAGAGATCTGGTGGTCTGTCAATCAAAAAACAACAACAAACAGGCATTACCCACTAGTCGCGAGAGTTTATTCTTTTAAATATACATAGACTTTTTCCCCATATTAAATTACCCCACCCTCCCCTCTCATCCCTCCCTCCCTCCTGCATTTCCTCCCTTGCTCTCTATTCTCCGCTTTCCTCTCTCCCCCCCTCCCTTCAGAGAGAAAGCTCGTCCGACTGAAAAACACACTCTACTTTGTGCAGTATATTGCTTATTAAGACATTTGCGAAAACATAAATTAAAAATACTACAGCTCGTCTTTTTCTTTTCTGCTCCGACTTCAGAATGTTCTGAGGAGAATAAAATAAAAATAAAAAAAGAAATTAAAGGAAGAAAGAAAGAGCACAGTGTCCCTCAGTCTGGCTACATCAAATGAACTGAATTCCCCTGTTTTTCATGACATGCTATGACCCTCTTGCTTCACAGTGGTCTGTACCATTGTAAGTGAAATGGTTAAAAGAGAAATCTATTCTGTAACGGACGTCCTGAGTTTGACAAATCGTGCTGATGCGTTTTTTACTGCAGGTTAAATGAACATCCAATCAAGATGGCCGATTCTAATTCCGCCCCCCGTTTCTTCTTGTCTTTGCTCATCTCCAGAAAGTGTGTGAGCGTGCAAAGGGTGGGGTTGCGTTGGGGGTTGGGGGTCATCATCATCATCAACAAACGGGGATGTGCTCATTGTTTATGTCTTTATGTCAAATCCAAAGCTGTGGGACTGATTGGTCCCATGAGGCGGTCGGAGCTGCAGGCAGAGTGAAGGACAGTGTGATACGGCACTAGAGGAAAATTCAGGTGTTTAAGTCACAAGGCATGCATGTTAACACTGAACTCAGAGAGTGGCCACCAGGCGTTTTTCAGCCGTGACGCGTGTGGTATGTGCTGTGATCGTGGGATTTGGTGTACGAGTGTGTGTGTGTGCATGTGTGTCAGTGTTTGTGGATATCTGTCTTTGTTCAGGTGTTGAAAAAATCCTGCTTTTGACTGCATGCAAACTCGACTGCTCCCGGACAAATATTTATTTTTTTAATATTTTCAGCGAATAGAAGATACCAGGAATGTCGTGTTTGTTTGAGTTGACATTTTTTTTATCTCGATAAGAATTTTCAAACGAAGAATAAATGCATCAAAAGTGGGACTTTCCCAATGACCAACAGTGTGTGATATGTGCATGTGAGTCTTGTGAGCATGTGGCATGTCTCTTCCAGTCTTAATCAAGTTTTGTGTCCATCATCATTCTAGCAGTCTGTCCGTTCCCCTCCCTCCTCTTTAGGAAGCACAGGAGGGTCCGTGAGGATCGAAGGGTCAAGCTTGGGTCAAACGCGGGGGGAGTATTTAGGGTTTCTTGGCACCTCGGTGAAAGATTTCAGCTCGTAAGGGATCCCTGTGTCCACCTCGATGGATTTGCGGGAGAATAGCAGCCGGATATCGTTGTGCAAGTAGATTTTCCCAGATTTGGAGCTCTGGAATCTGAGAAGGGCAGAAACGAGAGCAGTGTTAGCAAAACACTGAACACGAACTGTTCAAGTAGCTGAAACAAAGCTGTGAATTATATTTTGTGAATCAATTATTTGCTGTTTCGCAGAGTTAGACGAGGAAAATCAATATCACTTATATTTGTCCATTTAATACTGGGCCTCAGCCAGAAACCAGTTACGTTGGTTAAGCATAAAAGCTGAAAGTATGGGTAAACAGCTGGTCTGGCTCTGTCCAAAGATATAATTTCTTCCCTGGAAGCAATGGCCAAGTGAGGCTAGCTGTTCGTCCCTGCTTCAAGTCTTTATGCTAAGCTAAACTCAACTGCTGCTGGCTGTAATAGCTTCGTGTTGGCAGAACAAACATGAGAATGAAGTCAATCATCTCATGTCAACTCTTGGCCAGAATGCAAATAAACACATTCCTAAAATATTTACCTACTGATGTTACAATGGGATTTAACTGCCAATAGTTGATTGGAAGCATTTATAGAAAATTTCATGAATATACAAAGCACTCAAAGAAGTGTAAAGTAATAAAATCTGACTGTGACTCAGAGTACATTCTATATATTCTTGTGTCACTTGCAAGTTTTAAATGAAGTATCTTATAAGAAATTCACACATAAAAAGTACAGCAGACGGATGAAACCTCAGCCGTACCTGAGATGCATCAGGTAGCAGAGAATCTTCTTCCTGTCTATTGCTCCGCCTCCTGGAGACACCTCGCCTTTCCCCTCCACCCCCTCCTCCACAGGCATCAGGAAGATACGATGGCGCAGGAAGGTCATGTGATTGACGGGCATGTCCCCAAAGTTGTAGGTCACCAGGAACATCTTCACCACAGTTTTGTTGGGATTAAATAAGGTCTGTGGAAAAAATATGTCAGACCAGAGTCAGCATTTCAAAATAAGACAGGTAGGTTTTAATTTAAGCATAAATTTGAGCAAATTAAACTCACCACTTGAATGGTCCCTGCTTTGGGTATGCTATATCCTTTCTTTCCCAAAGGCTCGAGGGAAATCACCCCCTGTTAGAGACAGAAACATGGCACTGGATAAACATTCTCAGTAACAGTAATGATGAAATATTTTTTGGTTCAGTTTTATAGCTGTGGGCTTCTACAA